GCAAATTTTCACAAATAACTGCTGCAGTCAGGCTGCTTTTTCTTGAGTTACTAGTTGGCTTGATTATCCAGGAGCTTAAAGTCTGGATAGCCTCACAGCCTTGGCTGTTCCCAACCAGCCTTTGCATTCCTTTGACACTATTGACAAGTTTGCCAAGCTTCCAGTCACATTCGTCTATGTTTTTGTTTTCACTTCTGCCTACCCTTGCTTCTGCTGGAACTGAAATTTTTGCCAAACCTCCCAGGTTTGCATATTTCCCTCTTTATACCTTCCCAGTTAGAGAATGTCATTGCATGGCAACACAATGTAAAGTATTCATTTAGTGACACAGAGCAGTCTAGCTAAAGGCTATTTCAGCCATACACAGGTTCATTTTTGTGGAGAAGAGTAGACAGAAAAAAGGGAAAATGTCCATAGATCTCACAATCCTTCTTTATTTGGAAGAACAGCTTTTAAATTAAGTCAAGCAGTATCTTGTTTTATCATTCATTTATTTAGCAAAGAAAGGAATGAATTAAAATACCCCACACAACGAACACGTAATTATTCCCTGATATCAAGATGCAGATTCACTTTTGAACAATTTTTAATGAATCTGGTTTTTTACTATTGAAGTCATCTTGTACTGTGCATGGATTTGTGCAGAAGCAATATATTTTTGGCTCAGTTCTGTAAACACACTAAAATAAGTAACTTGCTACATCTATACCATTGAGCTTGGTGTGGTTACTTATGTGATGACTAAAATTATACTCAAGAGCCTAGCTTATGCCATGGAAATGACACTGAAAATTAGAAGTATATCTCTTTAGGCTCACTGCAGTGTTGGTGGAAAGACACAAGCCCACATCAGGATGTAACTCAGTCTAAGTATGTTTTCCTAGATGAGACATAGACGATGCTGGTGGCAGCTACAATTAAAATTGGCCAGATGCCTCAAGCAGAGCAAGATAAGCTTAGACCAAACTGTTTACAGAACTGATCTCATACAGCAAGGCCATTACGCATTCAATCAAGATTAGGAATGTGCTCATGATGTGATGATTTTATTAAAACTGGTCCCACATTTAAAGAAGTGAATATATCCATACTATAATTATGAGGAAAAAAATACTGAGAATTTAATCCTGTTAACATTTTACTTATATCTGGGACCTCTTACATTCTTTTCTGGTTTGAACAGCCATATGGCCTGATGCTCTGAGAAATTTCTTCACTAACATAAGTGGTTCAGTAGCTCTTGATTTGTATGCTGGTGTGGTATTTTCCCAGACTCTGGTGTGGATCTCTGGTAGAGTTAACTGAATGCACACTATCCTATATCCATGTGAGACTTTAATCAGTACTGCTTAATAGGCTGGAAATCAAAGTCATTTAAGACCCATTATTTTTTTCCACCCTCTTATAAAATTCCCAATCCTATTAAAAAATATCTCGATTAGTTTTAGCCAAACCACACTGCTTCAACATCAGGTGACTGCAAATGGCTGGAAAGGCTTCTACATAGAGTAACCTAAAAAGGCCATAAAGATCATCAGACTCAAATCAACATCCAAAATATATCTGCAAACACAGCAGTCCATGTTCTAAGCAACTGAGGTACATATGCTATGATTCAGACATAAAAAATAAGCAGAAAAAGTTCTTAGGCATAGTGGAGTTGGCCAATGAGTGCATATACTGTGCAGGATATGACTGTCAGTCTTTCTTCCTCCTTCCTCCATGCAACAGGGCTACATGGCAACAGCTCTACTAATTTTCATTTATCTGCCAAATTGTTTGCATTCAAAATAGAGAAGCATTTTTAAATTTATGCAATCAGTGTAAACATGGTTAGCAATATTAACTAATGGCATCAGAGGTAATATAATTATTTATCCAAAATAGATCACTTTATCCAAAAGAAAGGATGAAGGTTATCTAAGTATGGCATTTGATGAGTAAGGTACAATTTGATTTTCCCTTTCAAACAGTATAATAATGCTTTTATAACCAAATCCTTGAGAAAATTTGAGAACTCTACAGGCTTAAACAGGGTTTGCAGGAAATGCCCACTTATTATACTTTTGACAGAAAGAAGAATAAGAACTTTCAAGAAGAAATAGACATAGTTTAATAGGGGACCTGGTGGTGCCAAGTTAATTGTTGGACTCAAACATCTTCCACCCTAAACAATTCTATGAAATCTGCCTTTTCAGCTTCGTAGCCTATTGTAGAAAAATTGCTAAACAAAGTAAGTTGAAAATTAATAGATACAGCACTTTGCTTTGCTCCATATACTAGGAAAAGCTGTACTAAACTACCTGGGCAGCTATATAGAATTCAGAAGGTGAAAATACTTACAACATGTGTAAATAATGATATACACTCCAGTGCATCTGGGATCCTTTAAAATTACCTAAGACACAAATATCTAAAGGCTTTAAAACCTGTTGTCTCACAGGTTTTATGCATGACAAGGAGATCTTGCCATCAAATTTTTCTCATTTAAGTGATGTGAAATTTCCATGTTTACCCTGCTGCTTCAGGTAGAGTTTTAAATATATTTCTACCTGTGATATAGAACAATTAATTTAGGAAGCTAAATGACAAAGAAAAATAATTAAAAGAAACACTTGCCTGACATGCTGGCATGGGAGCTGCTCAAAGACCTGGAACACCTGAAACAAACCTCTAAGGAGAGGGAAGTGTGAGCAGACTGAGCATCTGCTAAATGGATTTCTACCTATGATCATGCAGAGTTAACCAAGGGTATTATTACTACATATATAACATGTATCTAATATATGTATTTATGCATGAAAAGAATTAAAAATAGATCACTATAAAGATAGGTGCACCTCAAACCATTGAAGAGTTAGGAAAAAGAGATCATTTCAGTAATTGTAATTGAAAGGCATAAAAAAAAATACATAGTTCAAATATTTTAAAGATATTGGTCTCAAAACAATTAGTCTAAATATAAAATCGAGAAGTTGGACTAATGTGCTCTTAGTACAGGGGAAGAAAGGAACAATGCTGCTCATATGTGTGTATGTACGTGTGCTGCTTTTTCTTGGCAGTAGCAACAATATAGGTTTTATCTTATTTAAATATAAAGTTTATCTTCTGCCATGAACACAGTAATTCAAATACCATCCTGGTTATGATTTGGAAAGCTTTTCTCCCCTCTATTTCTAGCAAAGAAAATTTTCTCTTACCCAGAGCAATCAGCTAATTTATTCCTGGAAAACCAAATCTAACGTGAAGTGAAAAATCACAAATTATAGAGTCTCAACATTATTATACTTTCTGGAGAAGAGTTGGTGTGAAGGTGAGGGGTTTTCATTTGACTGAGTTAGTAATAGGGAGGACTGTTCATCTGGGAAAAAAATGTGTGGCTGATCATAATTACTTTAATAGATAGCAAATGTGTCTTCATCTTACTGCATAGCATTTTAAAGACCACTTTGAATTTTTTTTATTTTTCTGTAGAACAGATTGGAAGCATAGTGCTACATTCAGATCTATCCCCATTCAAAAATGTAGCTCACTGCCATGAGTAGATACAGTATCTACCACTGCTATGGAAGTGTTTATTGGTACTTTTTGATTTTTTTATACATAGTTGTGAATCATTATAATCTGTACATACTTTCCTCTTTTTGTCTCTCATAACAAAACTTAATTAGCAAGGGCTCTAAACAGAATGTACATTTGATGTATCACTTATACCAAATGATACATAGAAATGTATCATTTCTACTCTGCTTCTCCTTGCACATCTCCCTAGTACTCTAGTGCAATGGTCTTTGCTTTTAGCAAGAAAATGAAAGCCTAGTTCTTTAATTTTTAATATTAACTTTTGATTTCTTCTCACAAGCTTCTGAGAACAGCAAATGCTTCCTTGCTACTATATACTCTGTAAAATCTCACTCAAATCCCTGCAATTTTCTTTTTAGTTATACATACAGAATTTCAGATACAAAAATAAAAATGTCATGAATGTGGGTGAAAATGGACAGGACAAAGAAAAATGGTATAAGACTTTGTGTTTCCTCATCTACCACTACAAAAGGAAATAAAACTGATAACTTAAAACTCAAATAGCATTTTAAATATTTATATCAATGAAGGCAACAAGATCATCACCTGAAACGCCATAAGAATGTTCCTCTAGGGATTGACTGATGCAGGTCAGACATGGCAGCAAGATGAGACAGCCCTTTGAAAATGTATCTATATTCTCTGAGCCAGCTTTGTTTGTCAGACCTGTGCATATAAAGTAAAAGCTGGAAAGAAAAAAGCAGATCTATGATTATGCCTACACACCCCGAGAGCCAGAGATGGCACACAATCCATGGTGCAGTTGTACTGTTCTCTGGCCAGACCTGTGGCAAGTGCCACAGCCATCAGAGACAAGTCTGTCCCATGGGCTTGCACTAGGTAGAAGTGCCACAACAAACCCAAATGCTGCAGCAAGGCTGGGTTATTAACGACACAGAGAAAAACCTCCCAGTGTGCTTCTCCCATCTGCCCTCCTCCCTTGGCCTCCCTGTTGGACATGCCCTTCCACACCCTTGCAAAAATTAAACTCAGCAAGGTGAAAGCATTATGTGACTGGGCTGTTCTTGCAAACTGGAAGCCACTAACTCTGGAGGTGTCTGAGTTAATTACAAGATTGTATCCCTCAGTACAGCCTTAGTACTTCTCTGCACTCTGGTCAGCTGAACTGCAGTCAGAGTGATTCACAGCCCAGGAAGATCACAGATCCCAGAATTGCTGCAGAGGATCACTAAACCAGAGCTTCAGGAGAGGGCTGACAGCAAGACCCCCTTTTTACACCCCAAGGAAATAAAAGACAGTGCCTAAAAAGAAAATTAGATTTGTACTTTTTAAAACTCCAGAATTACTTAGTTACTTGTTAGACAAATATGAGTGGAAATTTATGAAACTGAGCAAAGCAACGTGATCCTCATGAGTGGTCCAGCAACACTGATGGGCTACAGCTGCCCCTGACACTGAAGGCCAACCTTGTATTATAGAAAGAAAACGTCATGTCACAAAGAGGTGGTTTGGGCTTTTGGTAGCAATGGGACATTGATGGCTTGGATCATGCTTGAAATGTCTCTGAACTTAATCTTTGAAGCCTCAATCACATGAGCACTTGAAGGCCTTGGAGACTGGGGAATTACAGGAGGCAAGAAAATACACAAGCCCATTAGAACTCGTCATAATTATTGAAATCTGTAAAATAGGTATTAGAATAAGTCTTTGCAGTAAGATGTGGATTGAAGTATTTGTTTCTCTCCTCTAGAATCAGGTTGTTTTTGTTAAATGCCTGGGAAGAAAAAGAAAAAATAAATAAATCAGAAAATGAAAAGGACATAGGGAAGATAACCACTAAGTGCTCTTTCACCAAGGCAGCTTTTGTGGCAAATATCTGGGTAGAGTAAGCCAATCAAAAATGCATTGAGAAATACCTATACATTTACAGAAACTTGCATCTGCAAGAAGCATCTTCTTGCATAATCACATTCCTACAGAATGCAATTCTACTTTAAAAAGCCAGGGATTCCCCCTCCCAATATTACAAAACTAATTTTATAATTCTAGGAATATTTTTAATCATATATAGGCAGTTCTTCCTATTAGAATTAGTGACTTACTATATTTTCTCTTTACTGTCTTAATTCCCTGATTTTCAAGTGGCAGAAATGTCTGAAGGCCTTATGATAATAAATCCTGTTTTTTTAAAAAATAATATTGGTATTTAGAATATGAATTTTTAAAGGATTATTTTTTGTTGTTATTTCTGTAGCTATGTAGAGCGATGATGTGGCATTCTAAAAATCTACAAATTAGGTTCATATTCCACTGCTGACTAGAAGATCCAGAGTTTTCTTGCTGTTTTTAATGATTTGCATTAAAATTTCTTGAATTAGAAATAAAAATGCAGAAATTAAGAACTGGATTATCCAGGTAGGATTTAAGAAAAATCCTCATTTGCAGAAACGCTTTGCAGCTGCATGAATAAACTTTGTAATCTGAAGATACTGAACTAGGTATTTTCAGAATGCACATCCTTTCTTAATTCAGTGGATCTGAAAAGCAGAGTTATTTTAAAATGTCACAAAAAGGAAACAGAAATTTGGAAAAAAATGATGAAATAATATGGATATCATTAGAGATTCTCAGTTTATCTGTACTGCTTTTTCACAGAGTAGTTTGGCTATAAACACTAACTGAGAATCTGACCCAGAATATATTCACCAGATACATCTCCCATATAGAGACATAGTGCAGGGAGATGAACAGTGCCCTTGATATTGGATCATAGAGCCAAAGGACTTCCTTGAGTATATGCCATGGTGAATGGCCCGATTTACTTCTTGAACAAGCCTCCAGGGAGCACAAGTAGGAAAAAATCCCACAAAACTACTTGAATGATTTTCTTTTTTTCCAGGAAAACCTGATGTATAAATTACACATAAATGCAAAACCCAACTTCCTGCTTAACAGAGGTTGACAAGTGAAAGGATCTGCAATTAAAATACCTCAAGTGAAATCAATCTACTTTTGTCATTAACAATCAGCATAAATTGAGCTCAAATGCCACTGTGGAAAAGTATCAAGGAGAATTCTTTTGATACTGGAGAAATGTCCAGGTGTATAGAATAGCTCCTAGCCCTCTGCTCACCTTGATGGCTTCTACGGAGTCATATTTGTCCAATTTGTTAATGTGGTTGGTGATGCTGGTGTTGAGTGGAGCTGGTGACACTGGGTGGATGACAGTCGCATCGTGGGACTGCTGCTGGTATCGCTGGCAGTATGTGTAAACAAGCAGGGTGAGAAGGCAACCAAGAATTGAGCTACTTAATCCCACTGTGATCATGTGGAACATGTTGAACTCTACAGAGCAGAGAGAAGGCAACCTTAATTTAAAGGCAGTAGCAGTAAAAGCTTCAGCTTGGGGAAAAATGTAGACAAGTGTTTGATAAGGGAATTTTCATGCATTTCCCTGAAACATCTCAATTGCAATGGTTTATCCCTAGAGTAGTAAATTCATTTTACCTCCCTGAAGGGACCATTATAAGAATCATAGATACCCATACATCCCTGTTAAGTAGAGATCATTGAAAGATGTTTGAACAAGTTCAGAACACAAAAGAAATATGAATTTCATTCCATATGTTTGAATAGTTCATCAGGTTATTTTTTTCAGACGGTATAATACAGACTTGTTCTATATAAATTATGTATATAGTGTACATAAATAGTTTTTTTGTTTCAGTGAACTACAGTACCACCTCCTCTGCCGCTATTACCGTTCTTTCTCTTACACACAGTGACTTGTGGCAGAACTGACAAAATCCTTTTTAAGCCCATTCCTGCTTTCCATAAATGCATTCCATATCCTTTTATTAGAAGCATCAGCAAATGTTTTTCCATCCCTGCTTTGATTCTTGATGATTACCATTCTTTTTGTATCTTGGCCAGTTTGTTCTCTTCTCCAGCTCTTGGAATTTTTTCTTTATTTAAAGGGGAGTGACAAAGAAATGGCAGCATTGTAGAGGGAAATGGGAAGTGGCAAGAAATGGACTCCTTGAATCTCAATACACCTTTTAAGCATGGCAGCCAGAGAGTGCAAAATCAACAACTCAGAGCCCAGCACCCTTCTATCAGCTCTGCTCTTCAAAGGTACAATGGCATCAGACCATGGGAAACCCTCTCTACCCACACAAGGGTTAAAACTGAGAGGAAGCCCATTGCTCATTAAACTGTAGGAGGGAACCTGAAGCACAATCATTCCCTGATGTTACTGAACAGAACTACCAGATCAAATATGGCACCAGTAGGATTAGCTCAAAATAGACAAGTTGCATTGTTATTTTGAAATGGAGCTGTGCTTTTTGATTTACTTTAGGGAAAAAGTATCATTGAGAAACTCATGTTGGAAATTTAATCTTAGCATGATTGAAAATTTGTTTGTTGTTGCTTAAATGTAAAAATAAAGGATTTTAAACTGATATACTGGTGCTAGTCTTAAAAACATCTCTTAAACCTTTTTCACTGTAGTACAAAAAAATAGGCCAGTACATGTGTCTCATTTTTTGTAAAACCTAAGGCAGGACCTTTACATGCCTACTGAGTACTTAGAAACACAAACTAATATTAAGATGATTCAGCTGACGGTATCAATATACCAATCTATCACTAAAATATCCTTCTACACCTTTATGAGTGTTTCCCAATGCTGTAGAACTTGGCAAAATGCTTTCAGAGTATCACTGTTAGTTAGCAAAAAAATCAAATTACATTATCTTGGCTCCCATAAGAAATTACTATTTACACAAGTACTCTTGCATAACCTCTGTATATTCACTGCCCTTCATTAGGTTAAAAATGCAGCTTATTTTTGCATGGAAGAATACTAGAACTGGCAAGAGCTATTACCATGATGACACAGACTAAGCGTGATAGCTCAGCACATTAAAAAAAAAAAGTTCATTTTCCTTCTTCTTATTGTTACGTGGTTTTAAAAGTTTTTCCTTTCAAGATCATCATGACTCTCCAGAATGGAATGTTTTATTTACTTTTTAGTTTTATCTCTGGCAATAAAGTTGAAAATGAGTCCCAGATAGAGTCTGGGCTATTAAATTCGTTAGCAGGCTGGTTGTCTGCTGTTTATTTTGAGTCTAAAAGAGGTTTGTGGACTTAATATCCTGAAAATGATGGAGTAACAAATTTACAAATTTTGACCTTCTGATAACTAGATTATTATAGGTATTTCTTTTTGAGTACAAGGGTGACTGCCACACTGACAAAGAAGAAAATACAAACATCCAATAATGCATGTTCTTCTCTCAAAGGTCACCAAATAGATGGATATTTAATGAGAAATCCTGTATCCTTGTAGTAACTACATTTTTCTGTACAAGTTACTACTTTTTTCTGTACAAGTGTAAATAATGAGAATGCAGCATTTAGAAGGTAGAATAATACTAAGGTATTATTAAATATATGTTATTTATATAATATATCTTATATTTATATTATAAAATATGTATTATAAAAGGTGAAATAAAAGAAAAAATGGGGAATCAATATTTCAGCATTTAATAGCCATCTCAAGCTGAAAAGCTTACCGCCACATCGTTTCTTTTCTATGCTGCTGGATTGTGCCACAGGTATTTCTAGAAAAATAAATAAACCACTTAGGCCAAGGAAAAAAAATACTGCAGAGAACTTCTAGTTAGATTAACATAGTAAGGGTTTAAAAATTCATTCTACTACATCCACTTCAAATTCAAGGTAAAGAATATTTTTACTATGTGGTAGAATTAATAGAAAGGACCCATGATATCTTCAGGTTCCTTAGTTTCCCAAGAAAAGGCAGCAATTTATTTTTAATTCTTGCCTCAAAACATCTCTGGAATGAAATGGATGAAATGCACATAGAAACATTCTTTGTGGAGTTTAGGCTTGTGGAGAAAGACTTGATTTACTGAAGTAAAATTAACTACAGTTTAATTACCCTGCGTTCAAATGTGCTCGTTACTTCTGAAGTCACATCTAGCACTAATGTGAAAAGTGGTAATTTATACATATTAAAAAAAGATGACTGCCAATTTCATAGGTCTCAGTTGTAAACTAATAAAATGCAATTCTAGCCTGTATCATTACAATTTTAACTTTGAAAACACAGAATAAAATCTGTTGGCAGTCGAGCTTTTCCACTCCTTACTTCCAGACCATGGTTTCTATTAAAGGAAGTTCTGCCTTACAAATCAGTCTCTTGAACCTCTCTGAAAGGGTCAAGGATCACCTGTATACAATTGGGGTAGCTGACACAGTATACCTGGATTTCAAAAAAGCAGAATTTTGAGTTCTTTGATAATGCCTTTTCAAGCAACAAATGAAGTGAGGAAAAAGATACAGACATGGGCTACTATTATGTGCCCAGTTCTTAAAACAGAGGAAGGCTGCCACTTCTGCAGGCATTAGTCTTTTCAGCCAAGAGCTGAAAGGAGGAAACCCCTGAGTTAGAGGACCTGGATGAGTAAAAGCGAGCCAAGTGAACCAAAGAAAGCAAGCTCGATTTCCTAAGGTAGGTGTAATGGGCATGATCCTATCTGCTGTGTTACTGGTAATATAAGGAGGAGTAGCAAACAGACCAGAAGGGCAAGAGACATGGTGGCTTGTTTGAGATTCTGAAAATGCCTACCTTCTAAAACATGATGTAGGACTTATATTGGATTAAGCTGCAGATTCACAGAATGTGAATATTAATAGATCTTCAAAAGCCTTAGAAAAGGGAAAAGATAATGTGGGAATTTTTGCTCTCATACTAACATTTTTCATGTTAGTTTTAGAGGAAAATCCTATTTGGGAGTTAAAGCATTATGCACCATCCATAAAAACAGAGTTTAACTTTGCCAATGTCTTTATTACGTTGTACTATAGTTTACTGCATAGTCACACAAAGCAAAGGTTGCTGCACTGAATAAAAACAGCTGCATTTCAAATGATACATTAAAACATAGATTTTTCTGTCTGTGAAAAGAGCCCTAGCTTTTTTTTAATGTACACAGGGGGAAAGTCAACTGTTAACAGAAGTGCATTGTGACCCACCCATACTGTTGTGTGAATTTAAATGACTCCTGTGATTTTAAAACAAAAGTACAATCCTGAGTTTCAACGAATACTATAGTCTAATACATAACATGACTGTCCACGATGTACTTAGCAGTCATGGGAGATAAGGACTAGAAGCAAAGCTAATAGTATTTACCTTTCTGAGCAGTTATTGATGTAAGGCACTCTCTGAAATTATTTCCAGATTAACAACCACAGCACCCATTTTGTACATGCAAACCAGAAAAACTACAGCAATGTTTCTTTAATAATCCAAGTCTCAAAAACACTTAAAATAAAAAACAAACTATTTTTGCTTGCTGTGTGTACTCGTCCCCAGCTACCAAGTAAAATGGGAGAGACCTGCAGAATACTGTGACAGTGACTAACCAAAGTCTCAGGCAGTGTCAGCAGGGACAGCTCCACAGCACTGGGTGCCATGGGACAGATTTTTATGTACACCTAACAGATCTAACAACACTGTTTCTATACAGTAGACCAACATCCGTGTGTTCACAAAAGGCAAGTTCTTCTTCAGCTCATGGATCTGCACAGTGCAGTCTGGAACAGTGCTATGCCTTGGTCCTGAAACCTGAAAACTAATCCTTCAAGGAGCTAGCTGATCCCACCTGGTATAAAGTTGGAGTCCACAGCACAGGCTCGGCTCTCTGTGGCATTCCCTGTGCACTGGCTGCCCGCAGGAAATAAAATGACACACTGTCGAACACGGGTCTGGAAGCCAGACAAGTCACAGTCAGACCACTTGGACCACTCAGACCAGCTGTCTGCAACAGGCAGAGAGGGACACACTTCAAGTGCATTGCGTGACAAAGAAACAGCTTGTTTTTCTGAGTTAGGACAGAATTTCTTGAACGAAGATGAATCAAACCAACCTTCACCTCTGTTCTGCATCTGCTCCAAAATTTGGGTCACAGGAAGGTCAAAATAAGATGAAGACATTATTTATGAATGTTTGCAAACTGTCATTTATAGGAAAATGGTTGTAGAATATAAGTGCACAACAAGAGAAATAGCTACAATACCAGTACAATGAACACCCCAGCTCTGAAACTTCAAAGATGCCTTAAAAGGATTTCAAGGCAGCTATGCAACTTCTGCATAGGAATGTACACAATTTGTCTCAAAAAATCAAATAATCAACTGATGTCTATGCTTGGCGCTTTTTTTTTTTTTTTAACCCAATCTGCTTTAATTTTGACAAAGTAGGTACTTTTATTCTGCTGGAACATATGTAGTGCCTAGAAAAGGAAAGAATCATAACAAATAATATGATCCATTCAAACTCATGGGACATGCACTGCCTCATCATATGAGCAAAAAACTTTTGCTATGAAGTCCAGGAGCTCTAAGTGAAGCAAGTAATACAGTATGGTATCAGAGCTTCTTTCCTTTTGTTGTAGCCTGTAATCCACTAATTACCAATAAATGAAAGTTTATGCGGTTTTAATCTCAATTTCACACTTAAAATACATTTTAAAAACATTAGTTTTCTTTAATATGAGTCAAAAGGCAGAATCAAAGTTACAGAAATAGACATGATCCATAATACCATTATGGAGACATTTCATCTACTAAGCATTCCACGGTCATTTAAAAAGGTCAGGTTTTTGTTCCTTGACTTCTAAAGTTGAAGAAAGAATTTTACAAAGACCATGGAAGTTTTCTTTGTGTTTTATATGAAAACAGGGCAAATATTATCTACCTGGAGGACCTAGTAATAACATGTGTTGAATATTATCCTCAGCAATTTTATTGCTGTGAATGTTTGGTGTTGTAACAAAAGCACTTCTTTGTGATATTTTTATTAAAGGTCTCATAAATAATTTGCATGGTCCATTTCAAATTTTACACGATTTTTCTTAATCCAGATTCAGATATAGTAATTTAGATTTTAATATTTAAAGAGGGAGGAAGGAGGTAGTGTCCTGTAGAACATATTATGCCAGTACTTTACTGTAATATTGTAGCATCTAAGAGCTGACTGTGCACTTAATAAGGTATAGAAATTACTTGCTTCTGAATAATTGATTAAAGACATCATGTTGCCTAACTGAGAATGCCTTATTCTGGGGCACATAAAGAACAAAGATGGTTGGGCCAATTTGCGATACCTGGACATGGCTGTGTGTTGCAGAGTGCTTCTTCAGTGTGCAGGCCAAGGCAGATATCACCTCCATATGCTGGGGTTGGGTTTGTGCAGGAGCGGGTTCTCATGTAATGCCCTCCTCCACATGTTGCTGAGCACTTTGACCAAGATGACCAACAAGACCAGCCTCCATCCACTGAAAAGACAAAGAATACTGTATTTTTCCAAGCTGATGTGAGACATGACATAATCCATAATCCAGCTCATCTTTGTCATATTCGGCAGATCTAATTCATGGCCAACTGAAATTATTGGATATTTTTAGCTGCCACTGAACATAGCTCCCACAAATTTAATCACAATGCAATTTAATTTTAAAAGGCCCTGGTATGCTGGAAAAGCCTAACAAAATTACCCATACATATAAGACATTTTTAGTGATTATCATAATATTTTTAAGGGCAAAAATCTTTTTTTTATCTTTTCCTTTTCTTTTCTCAGTTTTGAGGAAACAAAATACCAAAGCTTGTTTTGCAGAAATATTGTAAGCTCAGAGTAGTTTTTTATTGATAGAAATAAAACTTAGGCAAATAATAGCAACAGAAGGATGGAGGAATACAGAATTTGTTTCACAACCCAGGTAGATTGCCTTAACCCTATAACCCATTTCAAATGATCTAACACAGTTGTAGGATTTGATGGGCCAATATAATGTTACAGTCTTAACACAGCTCTACCACAGATGTCAGAAGTAGGACAATGGCAGAAGTTTAAAAAAAAGCAACACACATCGACAAAAAGGAGTTGCCACTTTAAGTTTCTAAAACAAGTTTTTGAAGAATAAATATTATTTACCTTCCCCTCCCCACCCCCTTTTGCATTTACTAATTCAAGTATGTCAACCTCTTGTCAGAGTTTTCACAGCATTCCTCTGAAATGTAGGCTGGATTTCATGGGAGACCCATTTTTCGTATGGTTTATGACACATGGCCATTAGCCAAGATTTAAATTAAAGTTCACCTCATTGCCTTCACCAGTCTAGCTCCTTTGAACCCCTTTTATTAAAGCTACTGCTCCAGGATGTATTTCTGGTATTTACAGCCACATTGCAACCCATTTGCCAAAGCCTTTGTACCTGCAATTTGTATACAACAAAGTCAGATGTAGTTCTCCCAGGGAAGTATTCCTTCTGCAAAGAATCTCAGTCTGGGATTTTTTTAGTTTTTTATTTTTTTGTTTGGTTGGTTTTTTTTTTTCAAAAAAGAGACAAAATATAAACTTCCAAAATTTTCAAATCCTACAAGAAATAAATTTGTTTTCAAACCTCCATTTAAAGTGTTATTAGTTGAATTCTTATGGAAGTAAATTATTTACCATGTCTTTTTGCTCTTTCCTATTCAATTAATGAAACAGCCTTTCAAGGAATAGTTTCTACTGGTTTTCTGAAATGCTATTCCATCAATACCTCTTACCATTAAAAAATTAAAAAAATCTTAAAAAAATTAGCAAAAATTAGCCTACAATGAAAATATCTATGTGGTATTTGCTTTTAGATTTTCTCTTAGATGAGATGTAGAACATTAAAAAAATAATCATTTTGGCTTTGCAGGATTGAATATCACAAATGCACTTGCTAAGTTGAGTAGAATGATTTCTGTGCAAATTCTTAAACAGTGAGAAAATTAGCTAGAATTTTTCTATTAAAAGCTATACATGCATTTTTAATGTCATTTCAGATATAGTAGAGATTCAGGTTCTCAATTGCTAATCAAACAGATAATTCACTACTGCATACCAAAGACTATTTATTTATCTGAAGTCTGATTTGGCAGACAGGATTTCTATAATCTGGTACTACATTCCAAGTATGCAATGTAAATAAATTATTTCCATTATTAAGGAATTCAGTGATTTGTGCATCCTACAACAAATCATCATGCATGAGAGAGTTTTATACTACCTATCATAAATAAATACTGTATCTCATTAGAGTATCTGACTTGCTCTCTTACTCATATTTTTCTTATTCATGCTGGAAAACAAACATGCCTTTTTGCCTGAGATAACTCTATTAATACAGCATTATGCAAACTCATATCAAAGAAAGCCATAGGTTGTCTTCAGTGCAGATGAAATATACTGTATAATTTCATAACAATTTCAAGACATTGTATCTTTTATTCAGAACTTGCAGGTTTTTTTGGTTTTTTTTAAATCATGTCAAATAAAAGCAGAAGCTGTTACCCAAGCTTTTTATTTCATATGATATTAAGGCTTTACCATTCTAGATACTCCCTTTTTTCTTCTTTTCTATTTTTCTTTTAAGTGATCGTTGACTAGCTCAAATGAATGATCAGAGGCATGTCTGCTGCAACATATAGATCTTCATGAAACAGAATTGATTATGCCTGAGATTATCTACACAGAACATAAATTGTCTGTAAACACTGCCAGTGCATCATTCACTGTAATGGACGCAGTGACCCCCAACACTTTCCTACTTTTTTTTCAATAGACCAGAGTGAGAATTACAAATGAACCTGCATTTGAAATTGCCATTGATCTACAGGTGGCTGAGAACACAGAGACTGGTGTGACACCCAGGAACACCATGTTCCACAACTGCAGTGATCATGGCTGTAATGTGTCTTCAGATGTAAAAGAAGGTGGGGAAGGACAAATATAATAGACTATGTTAGATTTGATCCTAGTTGAGCTGAACAGTGCAATTGTAACTGTTGGAGTTTTTTTTAGATGCCTCTAACCTTTCAAGGACTATTGTAACTACCACTTTTATAAAGTCCCCAGAACATTTTCTTTTCAGTAACAGAGGATAATAAGGTATCATCATGGTTAAATAAGATCAAAGTGGGTATTTACTGCTTGAGCTTTTACAAGACCTAAATAGAGCTCTGTAGTTTCTTTCATCTTTAAGTTGCTTAGCAACACAACACCATCTGTTTGTGTTTTTTTCCTTTTGTCATGGAGCCATTAATTTCTGTCTCTTATTGGAGGAAAAATACTAAGCAGCAAGGAAAGTTCCAGTCACTACTGTTTCTTTACATAACAATTTCATAGAGATGTTGGACAAAAGAAAGTCATTAAAGTAGTTCCACATTGAAAGATTTAAAGAGTCTTTACATTTTTAGTCAATTTGCTGAAGCTGGTCCCTTTAGGAAGAAGGCTCTTTTTGGCTAGGAGGGTGCTATCAAACAGTGGTCTTTCCTTTACAGTAAAGCAAACAACCTTTTGCCTACTGGCCATTGTTGAGGTTAGTATGTGTATCTTCACTGTAATAAAAAATCCACATGCCATAGGGAAGAAGGATGTGCCAGGAAGAAACAGTATACAGAAATGGGATCTCCTGAGATCACAAGACAAAACATCCACACAACTGGACAATTTCCCAGATGCACTTTGGGTTTTACAAGGAAGTGTGGGTAGACACACTGACCTCACCTGCTTTCATGAGAACACAGATGAAATTGCAGGCTCTTTTATAAACTGTCTTTATGTTGGGCAGCCTACTACTCCCTTCCAGACACTTAGGGATCATCCCATTCCGCCTCACTTAGTCTACTGTTTTCTCCCAGTCCTGTGGGATACTGCTGTGTGTTTCAGTGTGGGAAAAGAACAATTTTTACATCACAGTTTAAAAAGGCAAAGTCTTATTTCTGTGATACTTTTTATTCATAAAAGCAATGCTGGATGACACAAATAGTCAAAACAGTGCAGTGCAGAATCACAAGGCAAACAAATGATTCTAAGAAAAGAACAATAACAAAATCTATGGGTCCACTTGGGTTTAAGTCTGTAACTGAGACTTTTAAGTCAGAAAACTAACACTTGCTTCAAAGAGCAGGTCATCCCTCTTCTTGCTGGCTATAGAAGCAGCCTAGAGAGATCAGTGCATATTATGAGATAGGCTTCAGGCTCCATTTCCTGAAGTATTTTTTTTCCTCCTGATTTATGAAGCTACCGCAGGATTAATTTTACTCTTTTAAATACATTCTTGTTTTTTTGTGGCCAAGTATTAGTTCAAAGAAAAAAATAATAGGAGGAAATGAAAACAATAAAGAAGAAAACAATAATAAAAAAGTGAATTAAATAAAAAGCAGTTGGCTTTAGAGAATGCATAAATAGCGTAAATAGTCTCAGGGATTTTTGTATATCTGAAACTCATTACTGTTATTAGCATGTTTAGTGATATATGAATTTATTCAGATCTTCTCAGCTAAAATGTCACAACTAAACTAAACTAGAACTACTAGAATAAAAATCTGAAATTGGTAAGATCCCAAAACATTGTCATGAAGCATCAAAATTTCAAATCTAAGAGATGGAAACTGTCCTTTCCCTCCAATCCTCCACCATGCCCTGAGCAGAAGAAAGAAGACCTGTGGCTTATGCTACTCAGTGGTGCTTGCACAGTTCTTCTTTAAATGTCTAATTAAGGCATATCAGCCAAGTGTCCCCATGTCCCTATGCAAAGGAATATAAGAGAAAGCAACAACAAACAAAACAAAACACAAATGAAGAAAAGTTGTCTTTTTCTACTGAGATAATTGATTCTTCTGCAATACTATGAACTAGGACAGTGTTCTTTAGGTTTAGTTGTTTCATTGTCATGCAAACAGATCTTATACTCAGCAAATTCCTGTAATTTTTTTCAGATTTGAAGAATTTATCATTCAAACAACATCATCATCTATTTGTCTTAATGATCTTGCAAGCCCCGAAGGATAACAAAACCCTGATATGACTGATTTTAGATTCCTTTTATTATTGACTTAAGATTAGTAACCTGAAGAAAACAAATGTCAGTGAGCATTCACAGATCCTTTCCATAGTTATTGAGGCTGTTCAGCTCAGTTCTTGTCAGCTTAATGCTATTCATATCTCTGAAACATAAAAAAGAGCTAAGGCACAGGTTCAAAGCTTAATTTGCTAGGGCAAGACAATAGTTCAAATTCTCCTGCCCCTCAAAGTAGCTTAGCCAGATGGAAACAGGACTGAGAACATGCCTTTGCCCTATACTGGCTCACAAACTATTTCTGCAGCTTATTTGGGAGAGTGATATTTAATTGAAGGCAAAAATTGTATGAGGGATCATTCTAAAACTTGAACAATACAGACAAATGATTTTCCAGGACCTGGATACAATTTCTGGCACTGTTCAATTTACTATTATATATTCAGCTTTCACATACTATGAGCAAAAGGCTCAGTGACTGCTACCAATCTGCTCATCAGTGGACCATTTACTACTGCAGAAAAAATTCAGTTTCTCTCTCCTCTTCAGGCTTAAAAAAGGTTTAATAGAACTTACTGAAGGCAAAGTCTAGATAACTTCTGTAATTTTTTGAAGTTCTTGAATCCTACATTTAGCCATCAATTTCTGTTTATTAATATATTAATAAGTATATTTAAGATGCTGCAAGTGTTGCAAGACACTTAACCAAACAGGGTAAACTTGTACACTTTGATTGCAACCATGGGCTTTTTCTTTGTTTTAGTCCTTCAGAGCACTAAGAGAGGATGACACAGCCCAGATTAATTCACTGAGAAGTATAAAGTCCTACTGAATTTCAGTATGACTTAAACACCACTTAAATACCACTCAGTATATTTCTCTATCACTCCCCTTTCTCAGCAGTTTACATCATGAGCAGTTTACATTATTGCTCTGCCTGCAATAAGCAGAAGAGGAAGCAAAGCAGAACTGAGCTTGCAGTGGCAGAAAGGCTTCTTTATGGCTTCCATCGTGCCTCTGCCTGCTAGCCAGAATATTTCTGGAAGTATAATGACTGGGCTGGAATATTACTAAAGGGTTCTGTGCCAGAAAGGAGCATGTGAAGCTGTTCTTACCCTGAGGGAGCTCAGGAAAATCTTAGACAGCATCAAATACTTTGCTGCAATTTTAATTCTAGTACTAGGGAAAATACTTTCAGGTCAAGGTCAGAACAAAATCCCTTTACATTCCTTAGCCCTTCTGTCTCTTTTATTAAAAATTAAGAGAATTCAAATTTATTGGTGTGCTTCTCCAGTAAGAATTTACTTCCCTCCTACAAGTTCATAATCAGGTCTAATTTATGGATAAGCCTTATTCTGCAATAATATTTTACTCTACCATGTCTCAAAAAAAAAAAAATCAATTACATCTAGTGCTTGCAAAGTTTTCTCTTCAGATTTATCTGAGATCTGATTTAGTCTCCTATATTTCTTTTCTTAATTACTGGCAAACAGTATTTCTGTAGCTGAGGAACTTTGTGATTCCTTGTTGCAGGCTTTGATATATCTAAATACTTCATTCATTCTCCACATCTTTATTCAAATTTGCTTTGCTCTGAAAAGAAAAATAAAACTTGTCTCTAAATAAAATTATTAGATAGATTAGGGCACCACTTCTCACTTCAGAAAGGTCCACCACACTTTATATCAATTCATCTTTTAAAATATTTTCAAATTCAAAGTGCAGTTTTAACTTTTGCCTTAAAATTAATGTTTTTAGTCTGAGGTATTGTTTATCTCATAAAAAACTAGGGCCTGTACAACAAACTTGTAAGTGTGTTTTAGTGGCTAAAACAATTTCTTTCAAAAATGTAACAGTGAATAGCTGCAGAGCTTAATAAAAATACCACTTCTGAAAACTTTTGACTTAAACTTTAAAAAAAATCCCCAAGTAGTCAAGACAAAATTTAATTTGAAAATCAACAGCAAGGGCTGAACCACAAATCTAGCTCCATTTTATAGATAATTTGTGTCAGTTACTTCAGTATGGTGATACAATCAGATATCTCAGAGCTTGTGAGCAGAGCTGGTACTTCATACCACACCACACACATACTTCCAAGGAAGCTCAAGGCAATGTCCTATATCCTCCCTCTTGTAAAGGGAGACATTCTATTTGCAAGAGAAGCAGGAGCCAATAAGGAGTTGCTATGTTCTAGGTTGATTCACCTACTGCATACATCCCTGGGAAGGTTTGCCCATGTTGGTACAACAGTCTTCTAAATCTTTGGCTTAATAAATTACTGCCAAACTACTTAAACAGTACAGTTACATGAAACAGAATTATTTATCATTTTATTATTCTGGAAAAAGTAAGACGCTATGATTTCAGTCTGGGAACTAATGAATCAGATCATGCACTAGGGTTGTGCTCACATGGAGAAGACTTGGACCACAATTTCCTAATTGTCTGAAAAATGCTGGCTCTGTTGGTTCCTTTCCACCTCTCTTCAATAAAAGAGAGGTGGAATTGATACAATACAATAATTGATAGAATTAAATTGTATACTTGATACAATATTGATAATTGGTACAATAAAAGAGGTATGAAAGCTTATTTCTAAATTTACTTGTTGCTGCTGGAAAGAATTGAGTCTTTCAGTCTTCTTTCCTTCTTCCTCTCTGTGGTTTCCTATCCTTGAATGCTCTCTTCCTAAACCAATAGCACCTTCTTTTCTTCATGCATGCTCCTATATCCTTCCCCTTTCTTTTCTCACAAAGCCTCTGTAAAGCTCAAAATCATTTCAGTTTGAATGTCTGTTTTATGAAGGGTGAGATGTGACTGAAACCAAGATTTTTTTCCCCCTAGGTAGGAGATACAACAATGATTTTTAATCCAGAGTAGTTTTGTGTAAACATATATTTTACTTGTAATCATTTTCATAAAACCATAAAACCACTTTAAATTAAGGAGAAACTCAAGATTCCAAGAACAATCTTTATGGAGTATTTGAATAACCATCTAATTTGGTGATCAGTTATGAACCTTATTTGCTGGTGGCTCTATACTTAAAAGCTATAAAAGATTTAATGCCAGCAACCACTGTGATGACAATGATATTTTGAGTTTAAATAAAGACTAGGACAGATTTCTCATATCTTGCCAGAATTCTTATGTATTTTTTTCTCTATAAGTTTACATACTAAAATTATATTTTTCCAGTCAATCTCACAAGTGAAAAAAGACATAGCTGTTAATACTACTGATGATAAATTTATTGACATCACATGGAAATATTACCCAAATCCACTTATATTAAAAAAGTAAACTTGAACTGTAATTGATTTAAGAACAAAAACAAACCCAAAACTCACCAACTAAAATAGAAGAACCCCAAACCAAATATTGCAAAACCTTGAAGATGAGCTATTTTATTTTCACTTCTTTAATTACATTTGAAGCTTACCTGGGCAAGGCAAAATATTGCATTCCTGGTACTCTAGAGATGGGCCAAGGCAAGGAAGTCCCCCATACTTGGGCTCAGGATTGCTGCAGACCCGTTTGCGATTCCGAATACCTCTACTGCAGTCACGACTGCACTGAGACCACGGAGACCAGGGTGACCAGGCACCATTGATGGTATGAGCAGAGTATCTTCCAGAACGCAGGAAGTCCCCTGACAATCCTAATAAAATAAGGATTGAAAAAGTAATACTGAATTAAAACAGTATCTCACTCCAAAACAACCTTTTCCTCTTCAAATTTACTTCTGGACTTATAATAGCAAGTAGTATGAACAGGAGGGTTTTGTCCTTTAGTCTCACAATCACAATCTAACTTTATTCTCAAAAATCTGGTCCATAATAAAAATTTCATAATCACTTACACAGAACTACAGTGAAGAGTTGGATCCAAAACTTCAGTTAAAACTTTATGGCTGCATTGACTCAATGAAGAATGATAAAAATTATTTCTCTCTTGCACAGGAATTGCCATCAGAAAATCTCCAAATATATTACATAGACATAATTTCCTCTGTTTTACAGGAAAAAGGTGACAAAGGACACAGGATTGAGCTTCCTGTGACCACTCATCTAGCCAGCTCTCCTGGTCCTCCTTCAGGACTCTGCCCACTCAATCCACCCAGCCTTCACTGCTGCTGGCTGTGCACAGAGGCTCATGGGTATCCCATGCACTGTACATGCACTAGCCATATTCAGACTTTAGATAGTGTCCACTAAGAATTCCATAAAGTCTAGCAAAACTGCCCTTTTGTGAAAAGCAGTGTTTTGCCACTTTAAGAAACAGTTTATTTTCCACTGAGTTGAAGTGTTCTAAGCCAAATATAAACTATGGAAATCAGCCTTTTGGAGACACACACATCCACCCCATAGAAAATTCACTTTTAAAATACTCATCTGGCAAGTGGAAAACATATTTCTAAGTTTAGTACAGAGTAAAGGCATTAGATTGAACAGCAAAGGATGAAGTCCACAATTTATTGGTGAGAGGGGACACACAGATCTTCACAGCATTCAACCAATAGACCTGGATATAGTCCTGGGTGAAGTTCTAATAATCTGCAGCTCATTTAAGTACCTCTGTCACTTTGAGGCTTGGTTTTGCATGAGAAAAGACTCCTTCAGCTGTACTAAGCACAAGACTGAAATCACCCCTGAGCTGTAGCCTTACCTCTAAGCATCATTACTAAGCATCTCCACCAACATTACTAGGATTTCCTATTGTTGCCAAAGCAGTTCACCTTTCACAGTGGAAACTATGATTGATGGACCAATAACTGCTGCTTTTATTGCAAGTACTTATTTAAGTAGCTGTGATGAGAGAAGATCCTGTGAATGGTACTTCAGCCAGCAGAGGATGTGACCAGTATTGCCAACATAAGTACAGATGAACTGTATCATCAACAGTGGAGAAATGCAGGGGATTGTTTGCATCTCTAACTGCAGCACAAATTTCTTAAGAAATTGTTTTGTGCTCTACCCACAGGCATGGGCACTGTGGAAGTATGAAAGGAGATAAAGGATTGGAAGATTTACTGAACAATGCCATGAGGACCCACAGAAATAATACTGGGAAGAGTCTGCCCAACAGCAGCTTTGCACTGAACAGGATCAGCATTCTGCATAAGCATGATAAAGGAGCCTCTTATTTGCAGTGTCCACTCTATTTCTATCCATGATTATGGCATTTGTAACACTGCTTAACTTCTTCCCCAAGAAATACATTCACAGTCATCCCAAAGTAGAGGAGGGTGTGCGTATTTTTTTTCCAACTTGAAAACATGCTATTGCATGGAATGATGATGCATTCACACAGAAATACTGATAATAAGAAACTGGTGAAATGAATAATAAAACAGTAGAATTGCAATAGAAAAATGACTAAAAATGGATAAAAATTTTCAGGAATTTTAGAGGGTAACTATTTCTCTCACACTGAACCAGATTCTATTACACAGATATTAAAAGCAGTATTTCAAAAAATATAATACAGATTCAAATGCAAAGAAGGGAGCAAGTACAGAGAAACAGAATGTGAATAATGATTACAGGTCCACTTTCCTGCTCTGTAACACCTTTTTTTTCAATTTGGTATCACTCTGGTAATGGAAATTCTCAACTTATGTACACAGTGAGCTGTGAGAACAAAATAATTTTATATTTTATACCAGAATTCTAAGCCAAGGATTTTTTTTAAGTTATTAAATTAAGAACAATGCAAACAGTGAGAAAAGTATTAATCAGACCAGACTGCCAGTCATTCCATGGTGGAACGCTGAACCAGCTTTCTCGTCCCTGCTTCCTGTGTTGCCTGCCTGCCTGCCGCCACCACTGAGCTGAAATCACTCGCCGATTCGAAGCTGCTCACATGCTTTGACTCAGCCCTTCTCAGGGCTATTTCTCTAGAGAAGTTGCAGTGCTCAGAGCTTTCTGTCGCCGCAGCAATTCCATTCATAAATCACTGCAGGGTGTATCACTTCATAAGAATACTAGAATATTCTGAAGATATTTTTGCAGGATATGTGTAGCTTTTTAAGTCCTGAGGAAAATGTATGACCTTATCTGACATTATGGTATTAGATTTCTTGTGAATGGGGACTGGGGAGTGGAATCTTCTAAGGGAAAGCTCTAAGGTAGTTTAGCTCTGAAATAGAAAAATATTCCAAAGAATCTTTTCAGTGTGGAATTTGGTCTGCAGCAAGTGTGCCCCTGAATTTTCTTCTTTCCAAAGAATTAAAAAAATTATTATAAGGACCAGCCTATTCACAGTTTTACAGTAGTTAATACAGTGTTCATAAAGGGGCTTTTAGAATTTTCTAATAACTACACAATAAAAAATTAACATTATGTCATTAACAGCATAGAAAGTGACAAGATCAGATGCATTCTGGAAATACTGTTCTATATATCCCTTGAACAACATTACAGCCTTTTACAAGAGGGACAAGGGGACAAGGTGCACAGATGAGGGAAGAAGAGTAGACATTACTTATCTCAACTTGAGCATGGGTTTTAACACTGATTCCCATAACTTCTTGCTAGACAAGTCAACAAAGTATGAGCTTGATAAGTGGACAGTGTTGAATAAGTGGAATGTGTTGAAAACCGGCTGAGCAACTAGGCCCAGAGGAAAATGATGAACCATTAAGAGGCCAGCTGCAGAAAAGTCGCAAGGTTCAATCCTTCTTAACACTATCATTAATGACTTGGACAAGTTTGCCTTGACTCTGAAGACTGACTGATTAACCAAAGGGTTGTGTCACACTTTGACAAAGCAGAGAGAAACCCCATGGAGTTCAACTGGGGAAAATACAGTCTAGAATCTGCACAGGACAACCCCATGCAATCATACTTTGAGGGCAACCACCTAGAAAGCAGCTCTGCAGAGACAGATCTTGGGGTTCTGGAGGACAGGAAGCTGAATGTGAGCCTGAAATGTGCCCTTGTGGAAAAGAAGGTGTTTGGGTTACATTAGGAAGAGTTTTTCCAGAAGGTCAAGGAAAGATTCTTCCCCTCCAGTCAACACTAGTAGGGAGCCCATCTGGGGCTCTGGAACCAATTCCCGAGTTCTTCAGCTGAGAAGTCCTGTTTATTAACTGAGGTAGTAGAGGGTATGGGGAGCAATACACAATTAATCAAAAGATTACATTGTAGAATTTGTTCAAGTAAAAATTCTTCAGAAAGTAAGTGTAATACAGAACCAAGTCCTAACCTTATCACAGTTTACGTCAAATTCACCAGATTGTGCCACCTGACAAAATCCAGCATTAAGCTGCTTTTCTCAGCTTACTGCTCCCATGATAAATATATATATAGCCAAACCAGGATGCAAAGGCCAATGCCCTTGGCATGGCAGCAGCAAAGGTCTAGTTGCCAAAACAAAATCTTAGTCGCCCTTATTTAAAGCCCATCTACAGAGATAGTTGTAAAAATCTGTAAAGAGAATTATCAGTCTGCATCAATAAACTAATAAATAGTTTTCCCAAGACAGACAGAACATCTGTAAGTCAAATTCTGATCCAACCTTTATGACACATTCATTATCAGTAAAATTACAGAAAAATTAATACTGCTCTGCTGATTATTTACTTACTGCATATGCAAATATAACTGACAACCATTGCTCAATTAATTTACAAAATTCTGATATAAACCAAGATGATTTGATGATATATAAGTAAAGTTTTAAAAGTTTTTGATTGAATTAAAATAGCTTCATAAATCCACAAGTAATGAATGACATGTTAACATGAAAGTCACCTGCCCTGACTGACACTGGACAAAAAAATCTGCCCTTTCAAAAGCCTGTAATGAGACTTTGGCAGGCCTGATTCTGCTTGAAAACAGAAGCACTCTCAACCAAGTTCAATTAATTTGCCTTAAAAGTGAGTCTCTATTAAAGCACATAATTTAATAATAATTTCCTAGTCTAGCCTGTAGCTGAGTAATTCAGCCCTAAGTAAGACAGAAGTAGACATGACACCTGATACATTATATTATTTGACTGATTTGTCCTCCACTTCCAACCTTACAAAGAAAATTGAATTATTGAAGCAGTCTAGGTTAATGACTTTCGGAAAAGATAATCTGAAGCCAAAATTCAGGTGTCCTGAATAATTTCTAAATGACAGCATAAAACACTGCTTGAAGTGCAGAGGTAACAAGGATAAACAAAGATTGTTTCAGAGTTGTCACTTTCTAAAGATAGTCTGCTGTGGAGGCCAATGACTAAAATCTCCATCCCTCAGCCCTGGAGAGGAGGTAAAAAATAACACCTCCTGAGGATGGGGTGAGAGAAGGCCTCTCTCCCACACATCTTTGCAGTTATATGTTAATGAATTGTTAAGTCTGCTCCCTTACTGGTTTACCAAGTTTATGTCACCCTGTTCATTCCCCATTTACCCTATGTTACCTAGAATGTCCTCCCTTCCCTCAATCCCCATTGGCCCCAGTTTGCTGCAGTCCTCCACCCCTGTTTTCCTATTAGTTGTTCCTGTCCCTAACTCCACCTCTGCACCTTTTTTCCTGCTCCCATTGGACCCTGACACTCCAATCTGCCCCCTCCACCCAGTTTTCTTTGTCCCTGGACCCTCTTCAGTGAATTAACTTTTCCTGGAGCGCCAAACAAAGACCCGTCCCTTGCCTTTCATCTGCCTAGAGTTTTTGTTGTGCACTCTGGGCTGAAGACATGCTCGTCACTCTCAGGACATGTTGTTGTGTGACGCAACAGTCTGCAAGTTATTTGACAATATTATTGAAGCATAAAACTTATATATTCAGGCCTAAATACCTCTAAGTTATAAAAACTATAAACTTTCAAAACATAGTAAAATTGAAATAGTAAAATGTAATGGCAAACATTAATGCAATGCAAAGACAGCATATTTAAAAAACCCAAAGAGTATGCAGATGGAGGATATCATGTTAGCATGATAACTTTATTTCTTTTATATAGCTTTTCTGTGTTTAAGTATTTAACCCCAAAGTTCCACTGAGTTGTGCTTTGTCAAGCAAACTTGAATTTGTCATCAAAGTCAGTTCTAACTTCCAGAATTCATTATGTTCTTACTCAGCATACCAAAGCTTAGCTTCAGTATGACAGTATAAGCGTATACATCTCAAAATGTACTCCTCCTGACTACAGAACATTCCTGATTATCAGCACATGTTCTATTTGTAAAAAATTCTGAATGCACTATAGATTTCCTGTGGGTAACACAAGGAAAGATTTAATCAAACTTTTCACAACAGATCATTGCCTCTAGAAGAGTAATTCAGAGAAATTCACATCCTGCCTTCAAAAATAACTATTATTACAAGGTTTGAGATAGAGGAAGCAGCAAGAACTATGAATCTAGGTGCAGATTTCCAGGTGCCTGGGGAAACAAACAAACAAAAGACTCTTTAAGACTAAAATGACTGAAATTAGAGCTATTGTCTTTGTTAATTTTTTGGAAGTTAACCTGGTCTAACTCTTGCCATGTCAAAATCAAGTGTCTTGTCTAAGCCCACCATTGCTGTCTGCATTGTACACTATGGAAAGTTGGCAGTATCTATCTCCAGAGGGTGAACTGCACCCATTATATCCAACGCTTATCTTCAATGGATCCTTCATTCCTCAGGGTGCTGAAGCTCTCTCTGTACAGTGCTACAGAGTCTAGACTTTGGTAAGATAAATTCAACCTAGTAATAACAGGCAACCTCATACTTTCTGAAATATTTATCCGTGGGTTAAAAAATGATGTTTTCAATAAAAGTATTACTGTTTATGTATCAGATAATCTTACAGAGAGCCAGCATGTTTAATGTAGATATTTAATATGTTTCATAAACACATACTAAAGCCTAGGGTAATGTAATTTCTAGATTCTGGATGCTGGATTTTACAGACAGTGCATTAAAATGTACAACAATGTACACAATCTCTTTCAGTTTATTTGAAATAGCTGTCTCTTTCCTACCTGAGCACTATATGAAAACCCAGAGGCAGGGAACAAGATTTATTTTTCTTCCCTCTTAATCAAACTTCAAATCAGAAAAGCATGAATACAGTCTGCAAATGCTACTGCTTACTTGATTGAGATAGAAATCTTACCACACTCAGGAGGAGTCTAGTGGGTTTCTGGCAAGAAGTTCTATCTCTAAGCTCAGACTGCAAAGTTTGCTTTGCTAGCATCTGACAGTGAAACTTTTTTCTGTTTAACATGGTGTGACTATAGTCGCACTGTGGGAGATTACAGGCAATGAGAAGATTTCTAACAAATGGCTCCTATCTGCAAGGAACAGAGAACTGATCTCTGCAGAACACATCTTCGGTAATGAGGTATGCCAAGCATTCTGTGCAAGAACTTACCTTTCTGTAAAAGCCAGAAAATTGCAACAATTCAACATGGAGATAATGAAAATAATGTTTCACAGTATCCAGGCTCCAGTCAGGTGGAAGTAAGTTACAATGTTTTTCTTGCTATCTAGCCAGAAATGGTGAAGGTGTCTACCACAATTCATGATTTGCCACTCTCATGACTTCCCTCTGTTTCAAAAGATACAGCTCTCTACATGACTCCTATTCATGTATTTTCTTCTAGTGAAATCAAGGAGTAGTAGTGGTGGTGTGTTGGCCCACATCTAAACCTGGGAACAGGGAAGTGCTCCTGAATCTTGCAGTTTAGATGCAGTCAGCAAATTTCATATCATCAGCAAGTCAAAATGGTGCCCCCTCACCTCTCCCTCAACAAATGATCCACTCCATACTGTTCTGACATCCATAATTGAAAATGACTATGCAAACAGCCTCAAAATAAAATGTGCTATTTTCACCAGAAGTGTATTGTTTCATTCAGCCACTTGGAACACTGATTGAATATCCCCTTTCATTACAGAACAATTAAAGACTCACTGGCCAGAAAGAATCAAAGAATGACGGCAAATTAATGACAAAGCCATAGGGGCACTCACTCATAGGAAGAACAGACAGATGCATAATAGTTTCTGCCCTGTCAAGTACTCAATAAAAAGTGCTTAAATATTCAGTAGTTTTGGAATTAGTCAGCAAAAATCCTTCACCCAGATAAATATTTCTATTACTATGCAACAGGGTTGGGGCCATGCACATACATTGCTCCAGTGATGAATTATTTCTAAATTAATCATAGCAGCAGCTTCAGCAAGATGCAACAAAAAAATTACAATGTCAGGAAATTCAGGAGTATTCAATGTCAGTATTCAGGAGTATGTTCAGAAGCAAAAACCCCCAAAAAATCCCAAAAAAACCCAACAAAAACAAAACAAAAGAAGACAAAAACCCCATAATTTCAAGCTGACCAAGCAAAAAATACACCTGAACCACCATCCCTGCCCCCATCACTTGCACACTGAAAAAATGCTTTATTTAACAAATTGTAGGGGTTTTTATATTATTAGACTATTATAAATATTCTATTTATAGAATAGAATAGGTTATATTATATTATTATAGAATTAGATAATGATAATATAATAATATACAATTATATTAATGATGTTATTATATTATTGTTATATTATTATTATTATTATTATATTCTTATATTCTGCAGGAGTCAACTAATGCATCCACCTCCAGGAGAGGTCTTATATGATCATGACTTCAGAAGTGAGAGAGGTGTCTCCATGTCAAGTTTAAAATTCTTGCAGCAATGTGATCTCTAACAAACTGTCTCTTCTCTGGTTTGCCCTACTGACCTCCTCTCTTGTCATGCATTGGCTTTTGTATACTTCTTTCTTACATGCTGCCATTTCAGCTGTCAGACCAGATTATATTTAGATCTTCCTGTAGCTTTACTTCTACTTGTGATAACTTCCTTAGTCTGCACTACCTTAATAGAAAAATACGCTTTCTCATTTAATCTCATGAAATTTTAAAAATGTATCATTCATGTCTAAGTGCTGGAAGACAGCAAAAAGCAGCAGCACCACCTTGGAGTCTCATTAAGGACAAGTGATAGGTCATACACCAATTCTAGCACAGCAAAATCGTTGCTCACTACAAGTCTGAAATTTAGTTTGAATGAAAACAGACTAGAAGAAATACTTGTGTCAACAGTTGCTCAATGCCAAAATTTGCCTTGCTATGCAGACCTAAATGAAGCCCAAACATTTGACACTGTAGATTATCTGAAATGGGAATGACATAGAGCACAAAACTAAGTTTTATCTGGAGTACCATGGGTTTTGTTTTATGATTTCACATACTTCATGACTATATATTTCTTAAAAAAATTACTAACATCCTGCCCCCTCCAAAGAGACACAGATGCCAATTGAATCAATAAAGGTTTTGTACAAGATGAAGGGGATGGGGGGAGAATGGAGGTTTCTAACCTATTATCATAGAAGCCAACTCTGCAGCCTTCCCCACTATGAAAACCTTGACATGTAAACCAAGTACCAGCAAGAGCTTAAAACTGACTCTCACAATAGTTGGTCTGTCTGAAAAATACTAAGAATTATAAAGTCCAGGGACTCAGAAACTCCTTGTGGAGCCAAATGCCTTCAGTTATACTTTTTTTTTTTCAGCTAGCCTGGGTCTTGTGAAGATACAAGAGATTATGTAAGTGGAAAGCTTATATATGGCCTATAAATATTATAATATAATAATAAAAATCAGTATTTTTTAGATTATATGACTAAAATATAATACTTTAAAATACACACTGATATACAATTAAAACTAAATAATTAATGAAATGCATTAATAAAATTAGAATGACTTTCACAATTTATTCTATTTTTAATTTTTTTATACATAGACAGAACTAGGTATTACTGATGGGAAAAGAAGAAAATTCTGAAACAAATTAATTCCAATTTAAAGTCTTCTAAATTTGAAAATATTTTGAAATAATTTATAATAGAAATAATTATAATAAGCTATAATAGTTTTATAATAGTTTTATAATAGAAATTATCCAGTTCACAAACTCCTTATTTATTTAAACACCTGTATGCATCTTAAAGTTGTTAATTTCTAACTACTGAGGAAAAGTTCTTCTTAGAATATTCTATATTCTAGAAAAATATCTTGTAAATACATTAATTTTGCACAAATTCACCCCTAGTAAAAGCTTGGAGGAGTATAAGGGGTAATAGAATCTTACAAGAACAGGATTATTGTGAAGAGAATTAAGATAACCTGGCAAATCTCATAATTGGTGGTGAAAGACACTTGCTTAGTCTGAATGATGATGCTACCTCCAGAAGAACTACAGGCTAGGTTCCCTACTGGGATCATTATGCCATCCTTTTAATTATCAGTTCTGTTACACATAACACCAGCAAGCAGAAACTTCCATGCTGTGCTGAAAATGGAACTGCAGACATGTCACTTGCAGGAGGCATCGTGAGCCTGTGTTGCTTTGCTCACCATCTGTCCAGCATCCACTGGTGCTGTGACTGGAGCAGTAGTGCATCTCAATGCGCTGCCGTCCCACCTCCAGCACGTTTGGGTCAGGCAGGCGTGCCTTGCAGGTGTATCGGAAGCGCTGCTCGTAGTGACCACCGTTGTCTGAAATGTTCACTGGGGTCCAGGGGGTCCAAGGAGTTGTCTTTTTTAACTCAGGGCATGTGTTGGTGTTACAAGGCTGATATTCCTGAAAGAAAAAGGTCATCATAAACATAATCATCAAATACGACCTTAGAAACACCCCAGAAATCCTCAAAGCAGACAAAAAGGAAACCTTTTAAATAAATCGTCTGAAATTTTTTCAACATTTTCAATAGCATTGATCATCAATGAACTTTTAATACAAGTCTCAAGCTGAAAGTGTTTTTTCAGCTTCTATGCAAAGCACGGTACCACAATGATAAAAGTAATAATATACCAGTACAAATTAGATTTATCACATCCATAAAAACAGTAAATCAAACACTCCAAGTACCATAATCAAGCATATCCTTTATAAATTAATAGCCCCAAGTAAGGTGAAGCAAAATATGCTGAAGTTTTTTAATTAAGAAAAATTCTGATAAAGTGCAAGTACATGACACAAACTGGAAAATAATTCCTTAGTAACATCTAGTGGCATATGAATAAATAAAGCACTGTCCATTTTGCATATTGCTTACATACTTCAAAAGGGACAACAAATAAAATATGTTTTATATTACAGATTCTGGCTCCCTGAGGTGCATGTTACTCATAGCTCCAGAACTGCTAAACCTCTCCTTAGAAGGAAATTCCCTGTGAAATGATATGCACTGCTGGAGTCCATCAGGGCCTGGGAAGAAGGATCTCCTTAGGTTAGGATGAGCAAAAACTCACCCTCACTGTCCCCTGGGAAGTTGTATGTTAATATTACTAGAAAGTTTTATGGGTTTTTTTTGTTACTATTGGGTGAAATTTGTCACATTTTTTTGCATATTCCTAATCCCCATTTGCTATTGGACTCTTACCCTCAGACTCTGCCCTTAAACTACTTTATATAAGTTACTGTTTCCGCTCTGGATCTTGCCTTTTTAGTGCGTCCCTATAGGTTGTACAGTTTATGTGTTCGTTGTTTTTGCTGTTGAAGTACTTCTTTTTGAGTCACTAAATCACGGCTGTCCCTCATTTCACTGCCACTCTTATTTGGACCTCACACTGAGAGTCCCCGAGGTAACACTTGCCAGACCATCCAGGCCTGGCATGCTACAATGCACAAAAAGGAACAGATGACATTTAAGAAACCAATGCAGAATTGCCAGTATTCTCAGAAATGCAGACCTGTCAGTATTCTCAAGCCCCATGATCTATGTCTTCTGATGAGTATCATCATGGTCTGTAGGTCCTGCCTATTGTCGTGGTTTTAAAGTAGTAACTAAAAAAATTCCTAGAAAACTTACTTATTTCTTGCTGTGAGATATGGATTAGAACAAGAGCAAAACAGGCTTAGAATTTAAAAGGAATAAAGAAAGTTTATTAACAAAACTACAAGAATAAGAACACCAGAATAAACTTCCAGAAAACTCCTTTATCCTCCACTACCCAACCATTTCCTTGTTCACATGACAACATAGAGACAAAAGACTTTGGAACTCTGGTGTTTAAACAGTCCCCAATTCCTGCTAGAATCTTTTCATCAGTCTCTGTAGGGAAACAGAAGTCTTCTCTGCTAATCTATGGAGTTTCTCACAAGAAAACTATTTCTGTTATAGCTTTCTATTTTTCTGATGCCAGCTGCCCAGAAATCTGTCATCAGATTTTCTCCTCCCATTTCACATCACTCTGAGGTGTGTTATGGGCCATGAGTCTAGGGATGTCATTTTTAAGGATGAGTTATTCAAAGGCAAAAGTTCTTTTCATCTGTCTCTGTGAGCTTCCCTGGAAAACAGAAGTTTTCTCTTTGCCTCAAACGGCCCCAAATTTTCAACTATTACTTGTCCCCTTCTGTTCCAGCACCTCACTATATCATAATTACTCCACCTTTTGCTCAAAATCCAAACTTTAAACACTCCATTCCTTCCCATATACTATATCTTGAATTAAAGGAGTTTTTTCAGAACATTATTGTCCATCTCCATAGCTTTAACAGAAAAATATTTCAGCTTAATTAAAGCATCTCCTTATTATCTACCTTTTCTGAAGCTTAATTTTTTTCTTTACTGTCTCTGATAGTTTATAAAGTCTCTTTACATGTTGATTTTTCTTTTTCTTTCTCTGGAAAAAAGGGATTAATCTGCAAGTCTCATCTGGGTAATGGAAGTGTTGAAATCTTGCCCGGGCTTTGTAGATGGTTCTGTGATCTCTGCTGGAGCAGCAGCTGGAGTTGTCTGCGATGGAAGATTCTTCATGGCTGCTCTAGAGAGTGTGGTCACTGTCTCAGCCCGCCGCAGGTCAAGAGCTTTTTTTTTTTTTTTCCTTTCTTTACTCGGCAGTCTCTGGTGCATTCAGTCAAAAGCTGCAGCCAAGCCAGGGACTGGCCTGGGCCGGCCAGAGCCCGGGGCAAGCCCCGCAGGCCCCATCTCCCGGCCGGGAGCCGCGGCAGGCTCAGTCCAGCCCCTGCCCGGGCCGCAAGGCCTGGGCAGGAAAACGGGAGGCAGCTAAATCTCAGTTACCTTTCACAGGCGGGAAACAAAGAGACAAAGAAATTCCCAGGCTTAAGTCTTAAGGCGGTGTCCACAGGTTGATCTCACTTTTCAACGGCTAAAACTGCTGTCAGTTCTTAGAAATGGCCAGCTGTTGGCTAGGAGAAAAACTCTCATCAGCCTCCAGCACTTTTAACTTCCTTAGGTGTTTCTCTTTGTTTTCTTAAATGCCAGTCTATCACACTATTCATTTTCCAGAATAAGATATACTTCATCTGATGCAAATTCTTTGTAAAATATATAGATTAAGTTAAACAACCATTGAATATCAAAATAAATTCACACTGACAAATGAATAAAGATGGAAAGAAATAGGCATCAGTGGGAAAACTTCTAAATTTTCTCTCTAGCTCTTGCCTGTTAGAGAGTGAGAAACTGAGCTCTTTCTGAAAAGGAGCCTATTAAAGTTTGTCAATACACTAATGGAATAATAGAAATAATGGTTTTATCATATAGTGCAACCTCCTTCTTCCATAACCTCTATAACTGGTACCAACATGGTACCAGTTGATACCATGTTCTAATAATCAATAGGTTACCTGCTCCTCTCTTTCCAATGGTGATAATGTCCTTTTTTTCTTATACTTTCCTCAGTTCACTACCTCTTCTCAGAGACAGTTTAACTCATGAACATACCCAGTTAGGTTTAGAGCAATAACTTTCAACCCATATTTTAATTTAAAATCTGTGTACAATTTCAAATCTGAAAGTTTATTATCTGAAAGCCTCTCTAATTTTTCTATCTGTTAGAGTTGGAAAAGAAATACCCAGGAGTCCCTGTCCCACTAATACAGTGATACACCAGAGAACGCACCACTATGTTGAGGATTCTCAATTTCTCAGGCCACACAGACTTGTGACAATTTTGTGTCACAAAAACTTTCACAGTTTTGTGTTACTTCAGAAATAAAGAGCTCTTAGCCCAAAGGCTTCAGCTGGACTACTCTTGTTCCCTCCTGAGGGCTGTGCAAAGTCCTTTCCTACCTTAAAACCTGTCCGATCACTTCTATGGCAATCACAAGTCATACTCAGGCACCATTTAGGAAAGATGATCTACCTTTCTGGGATCCAAGTGTCAGCCTGCTCTGGTTTCTGTCTCAGAAGACAGCAAAGAACAAGCAAACTATCTGGTATTAGGTACGACAGGGGGAGTAATTACTCCATGCCTCCTCAGGACTCAACTCTTTAAATCAGGTGTGTTTTAGACTTAGGACAGAACATGTATGACTGTTCTCCTTGCAGCATATGAACTATAAAAAAATAAATCATTAAATCTGCCTTTCTCTCTCCTTTTCTTTTTTCTGTTTTTTTAAGATGACTAGCACTGATGAGTATATCACCTTCCTGGATCAGCTGTTGTGCTATTTAGAAATCCGCAAAGCTAACAAATTGCAAGTTAATATGAGGCCGAATTTTCCCCTTAATTTAATTTTTCAGTCACTGAATTTTGCTGTGCCTTTATCAATGATGCTGAGAGTGTTTCCCAAACCTACAAAAAAAATTTCATGTCCATGTATGCATACATAATGATAAACTAAGCTCAACTTATTAAATCTAAGCAGGATTTAAAACCTGATCTCCAGGTCCTGTGCACCCCAATGTCTTCAATTTGTCCTATTTCCTGATTTTCCTTAAGACTGGATACCAAAATATGACTTGGCATTCTAGAAGAAGTAATACCAATACAGCATGCATGCAAATCACCACATATGTCTGACAGTCTGACTTTAATATTGAACATTATTGCATTAGTGCTTTTTCCTTCCACAATATTAACAAAAAGTCTAAGTAGACACAGTTATCTTTGATAGCCTGTCCTTTTCTAAATCACAGCTTAACAACTACCTCTAGTTTGTTAGCCCACACAGGAGGCTGTTAGTATCTGGCAATATTAAAATATGTTTTATTAGCTTCTGCAATTATCTAATATATTAATTACTACCTTACCAATCTCTGTCCTGTTCAAGCTTTACTGAAAATGTCTTATAAAACTGTCTAGACTGTTGATAAAAATGTTAAGTGCTATTGACCCGAGAACTGGTTTCAGGCAGACTCTATTAGACACATCCCAGCAATTGACACCACATTTTTCAATTTGTCAGTGAACCAGCTTTTAATCCATTTAACATTTGTAACATATTTCAGATTTTTGAATCAAATTATTTTCTGTTGCAAAGATAAATGTCTTGGAAAAAGAGATGT